CGTGATGCTTGAGTTTCTTCTTGCAAGTCCAGAGCTGGACCAGCCAATCATGGTTTATTAATCGCCGCTTTAACAAGTTACAGCATAGCCACATAATGGTTGGCATGCACAGGAAATCGTTAAGACAATGAAGCTATAAACAGCAATAGAATTGGAATGAGGTAAACAGATACATTTATGGAGACACACATGTGCACATGTATTCATGCACATATTATTGCATCACTGCCGCCTCTCCCTGCATCTCCTGGGAGTTTTCTCCCTGATCGTCTTCAGAATCTAAGGCCACCGTGTGCCTGCACTCGACTCAGGGTAGAAATGTGCAGAAAAAGAGCGAGGGCCAAGGCTTCACTTTTTAAGCTGGGAACTGTAGCTGCTGTCGTGGAAGTGTCATTCTAGGGCTGGAAAACAGTTTTTAAAAAAGGAGATAGTCTTCTATTTATGCCCTATGGTGCAAATATAAACCGGTATAATTTTTCTGGAGGCAATTTCACATTATGTAAACATGACCTTACATTTGTACACACCCTACACTACCTCTCCTAGGCATTTATCCTAAAGAAGTAATTATGACTACAAGCAGAGAGAACTCAGCAAGCCATATTGATAGTAATGTGAAAATGGAAAATAAATCTGAAAATCCACTATTGGTTAAACAAATTATAATAGATCCATAAATGTTTACATAAGACTATTTGATGATTTATGATGGTATATATATCTTCCAAACAACATAAACAGGTTGATCTCATTTTTGTAAAAAAGTTATACATATATACAGAAAGTATTACATATTAATACTATTATATATTGCCTCCCCCCTCAAATGACTTTGTGAACACTGTGGTGTGTTCTTCAGTGCCTATCTCCAGGTAGGCCCCTTATGGTGTCTGCTTGTGTGGGTTTAGTACACAGACTCTGCAGCTGAACTTTCCAGGTCTGACTCCTGGCTCCACCATTCATCCCCTGTGTGATTTGGACAGTGACATTCCTTTCACAAATATTACAGTATGTGCCAGACAGTCTTCTTGGTTCTGGGGAGACAGCAGTGAAATGACAAAAATCCCTGCCCCCTGAAGCTTACATTCATAGTTTAACCTTTCTAAGCCTCAATTTTTCCACCTGTAAAATGGGAACAATAGAATTTAAACTTCAGATGATTGAGGATTACAAGGATTAAAATACATAAAACATTTAGAAGAGTACAAGGTATACACTAAGCACATAAAAATTATAGATGTTAATATTTAAATTTTTTATTTGTGCTTTCTAACTTTCCATTAATGAAAATAATTGTTATGAAGTAGGAGAAAAAAAAACAAAACGAAAAAGAACTTCCTAAAGCTCCAGATTAAAGACCTTGGTAACTCAGCAGCCTGTCCCTGCCACCCTTACCCTGAGCAGAATGATGATGCAATGTCCTCAGATTTATATCGGGAAGGAGACCTGATAGAAGAGGGGAGAGGGCTTTCCCCCTGGAGTCGTGCCTGCCACATTCCTTATGGAACCAACCACTGCCTCTGGTAAACAAGCCCAGCTCTTCTTGAAGCCCCAAGGCATCACAGGGAACTAGCTACCAAGATAATTATTCCCTCTGATTTAGTAATTCTCAGTTCTGGAAATCTCTCTAAAGGGAATAATTCATAAAAAGTAAAAAGAAGCACAAGCTAAGACAAATTGGTGCTGTCTGATACTAGCAATGTGCTGGGAAACATCCTAAAAGGATCAATGTCAGCCTAGGATTGGAGTTCCCTATGAGATATAAAAGTATCTGTCAAAAATTATAGCTATGAGGACCATAAGGGCATACAGAAAATACGTGTGATGATGTTAAGAGAGAAATAACAAAACACAATATTGTCCGTGACCTGACCCAGCAAATCTGTGCATTCATGTGACCAGTTATGGCAAAAAATTGACAACAGATTAGAATGGTAATAAGGGTGATTATGCCTCTCATACGTATTTCTCTACAAGAAATTAAAGTAAGCATGAACCAAACAAATCATTCAAAGCCCCTGAAGACAACGTTCTTGATGTGGCTTTAAATAATTGCATTCTGCTATCCCAGCCTTTCCCCAATTGGGTGTCATAGTAAGTTAAAAGATGTTGGTTGTGGGGTTTTTTGGAGGGGTACAAGGAGATGGTCCATATTCAAAGGAGTAGGAAATAAGATCAAACAAAATCAAGCAGAGGCTTTCATGCTTTTGACTAGTGTGGATTTCTAAAATGCATGTACATTCCCAAGGTGGTCAGCAACCCCCCTTTTATTCTCCCTTACTGAACACCAGCAGCATCACTAGAACATGAGGAAACAGAACCCTTCTCCAAGACAGTATCAAGGACCCGGAGCCACGGCCTCCCCTCCTCCTGCTATCAGGCACCTCCCTCTGTGGGGAGAGAATGCCCTGTGCCCAGTGCCCTGCTGCTGTGCAAAGTAGCTGTCATGCTGTGCGAGCACAGGTATAATTATGCTGAAGGAGGTGCTGGGTGTCTCGGCCCCAATGTCAGATGTTAGCAACCCACTAAAGAGATCGTAACTGCCAGCTACCAGGATTCCTTTTTCTTTCCTAAGTTTGAAAGGTGTTTTTGTGTGGGGAGTTGTCTAAGTTGGATGCAATCAAGTATAGTACATAACCTCTTTATTACTTGAAGGCAAAACACTGTCTCATGAGTTTATTAATCTAAATTCGTATTTGTATCTATTAAAGAGAACAAAACAACTCTGGAATCCAGTCATAGGAGTCTCCTAATCCAGTGATTTGATGTTGATTTTTGATATGGATCCATTAAGTGTGTATTAGACACCAGGCTCTCGAGGGAGCAAATCAACTCATGGTTTATAATGGGTGTGTGTGAAAAGCAGGCACGGACCTTTTTTTATGCTCATCAGCTGTTGATAGCGTGTGTGTATTTAATGTGTGATCCCGAGACAACTCTTCTCCCAACGTGCAGCAGAAAAGAAAAAGAGCTGAACACCCCTGGCTGATTATTGAGCTTTACTAGCTGAGAAAACCCAAATTTTAAAATCCTGTTCCAGTGCCTGCGATCTCAGCTGTGTCTTTGCTCCTCCAGGAAATGAAAGGCGTATGGAAAGTGTAGGCTTTGGAACAGATACAGCAGAGTCTTCTTTCCCTGGTTCTTAACTGCCTGAACGTGGGACCTCAGCTTCCCAAAGCCTTGACTAGCTGGAGACAGTAGCTTTCTCCAAAGGTTGTGCTGGGTCTCAAAAGTGTAACAGCTCAGTGAAAATGAGTTTCCTTGCCCTCCCAACCTCACACTAAGTTTCTGTGGGAAGGTTCTTCAAAGAAAAGAGACCCTGAATTGTGAAGCTTTGTTAACTTTCTCTAAGGGTATTTATATGATAAGTTTCTTTTGAAGAAGGGGAGGGAGCACCTCCCTCAAAGATAAATGAGTCTGAAACTTCCCAGGGCCTGCCAGCTTAGGATGGCTTCTTGGGGAGGCCACGTGGTGGGGGCCGCAGGTGTTGTTTCATCGTGCCATTTCCCTTTGCACAACTCACAGTCCACGTTCCACTTGATGCTCCTGGGAGGAAGCTTCAGGGTTTCATTAATCTTCTCCAGGACCGTCTGTAGTTTTTGCTTCTGAGCAATCTCTGACTGGGTGACCTCAGCAACATTCAGCTTCTCGCTCTCAAGCTTCTCTGGGGTGAGAAGGGAAAAGGGAGCAGCTGTTATCTTGGGCCGCGGACAACCCTAACTCACACACTTAGGCACGCGCCCATTCGCTCATGTGCACATGCACGCACCCAACAAATGTGCACTGAGCACCCCTGGGGGGGGGGCACGCTGCTGTCCCTTCCTCACCCGATGGTGAGCGAGTGCTGGGAGAGCCTTGCCATCCTGTCTAGAATCCCCAGATCAAACTAAAAAGCTTCTGCACAGCCAAGAACGCAGTAAGTAAAGCAAGCAGACAGCCCTCAGAATGGGAGAAGATATTTGCGGGTTATGTCTCCGACAAAGTTTTAATAACCAGAATCCACAGAGAACTCAAGCGTATTAGCAAGAAAAGAACAAGTGATCCCATCTCAGGGTGGGCAAGGGACCTGAAGAGAAACTTCTCTGAAGAAGACAGGCACGTGGCCCACAGATATATGAAAAAATGCTCATCATCCTTAATCTTCAGAGAAATGCAAATCAAAACTACTTTGAGATATCATCTAACACCAGTAAGATTAGCCCATATCACAAAATCCCAAAATCACAGATGCTGGTGTGGATGTGGAGAAAAGGGAACACTTCTACCCTGCTGGTGGGATTGCAAACTAATACGTCCCTTTTGGAAAGATATCTGGAGAACACTTAGAGAACTAAAAATAGACCTGCCATTTGATCCTATAATTCCTCTACTAGGTATATATCTAGAAGATCAAAAATCACACTACAATAAAGATATTTGTATCAGAATGTTTATTGCAGCCCAATTCATAATTGCTAAGTCATGGAAGAAGCCCAAGTGTCCATCAACCCACGAACGGATTAATAAATTGTGGTATATGTACACCATGGTATATTATGTAGCCCTAAAGAAGCATGGAGACTTTACCTCCTTCATGTTTACATGGATGGAGCTGGAGAATATTCTTCTTAGCAAAGTATCTCAAGAATGGAAGAAAAAGTGTCCAATGTACTCAGCCCTACTATGAAACTAATTTATAGCTTTCATAGGAAAGTTATAACCCAATTATAACCCAAGAATATGGGGAGAGGGGAGAGGGAGGGGAGGGGAAGAGGGAGGATGGGAGGAGGGAGGGCGATTGGTGGGATCACGCCTATGGCTCATCTTATAAGGGTACCTGTGAATCTTTCTAAATGTAGAATATAAATGTCTTAACATAATAACTAAGAAAATGACATAAAGGCTATGTTAACCAGTTGGATGAAAATATTTCAAGTTGTATATAAAAACAGCACACTGTACCCCATGACTGTATTAATGTACACAGCTATGATTTAATAAAAAATAAATAAAGGTATCAAACCATCAAAAAAAAAAAAAAAAAGAAAAAAAAAGATCCCAGGGGCATTTAACCTCGCCTGTCACGTTGGAACTCTTTTCCATCACTCTGGGTCTTTCTCCTTCTTTTCAGTTCTGCCTCTTTAAGGATGTCTCTGTGCCCTGCTTGGAAAGACTCGGCAGAGTCAGTCCAGACCTCATTCAAGGTGTTTTGTACTTTCCTGTAGTACTGTCTGGATCACGCCCCGTCATATTTATTGGTTTTAAGTATTTATCTTCTTTCCTTTTAAACCCATTTGGAAAGTAATTTCTTTAATGTGTCATAGTTTATCAATTCTAAGGCCCATATTTTCCACATTTTAACATTCTTAAGATCAGGCTGTGTCTTATGGTCTCCTGCAACGGCTGCCAGGCAAGGGGCAGATGTAAGAATTATCACTGTCTCCAAGAGCCTGAACTTGGTCAGAGCTCTCAGTAAGATGAGTACGTCTGTGTCTTGGTAGGCCTACAAGAACACCTTCAAGAAGGATGAAATAAAAATTCTAAGCAAAAAGAATTTTTAGGGACTTTCTTCTAAGTATCAGTATAACCACCTGAAGTGGTTTTTCTCTTTCTGAGTAGCATTTATATAATGGTGTGCTTTAAAATCAATGGTTCTGTGTCACAGAGAAGATAAGCCTGACTCCCATGCAAGGATGACACGCCAATCTGTAAAGTATTCTGTATAAAAAAATAAATGTGTGGTTCTTAACATTTGCAAGTGCAAAACAGTCTAATCATTTTATTAATCTACATTCATATTTTCATCTATTATAAAGAATAAAACTACTTTCAACTCCATACTGGAAAATATGTTGGCTACCACTGAAATTCACCTGAACTGCTCTCCATAAAATCATTCATGATTGATAGAACCAACACTCTGAAACACGTTTAAAATGTACTTTCTGGCTCGGTGCCTGTGGCTAAAGTAGCTAAGGCACCAGCCACATACACCTAAGGTGGTGGGTTCGAATCCAGCCCGGGCCCGCCAAACAACAACGGCTGCAACCAAAAAATGGCCAGGCGTTGTGGCGGGCGCCAGTGGTCCCAGCTACTTGGGAGGCTGAGGCAGGAGACTTGCTTGAGCCCAGGAGTTGGAGGTTACTGTGAGCTGTGAGGCCACAGCACTCTACCCAGGGGGATAGCTTGAGGCTCTGTCTCAAAAAATAAATAAATAAATAAATAAATAAATAAAATGTACTTTCTATGCGGGGTGTGCTGGCTCACATCCGTATGTAATCCTAGCACTCTGGGAGGCCAGGGCAGGTGGATTGCCTGAACTCAGGAGTTCTAGACCAGCCTGAGCAAGAGCAAGACCACATGTCTACTAAAAATAGAAAAACTAGCCAGGTGTTGCAGCGGGTGCCTGTGGTCCCAGCTACTTGGGAGGCTAAGGCAAGAGGATTGCTTGAGCCTAGAGTTTGAGGTTGCTGTGAGCTATGATACCATCACACTCTATTCATGGTGACAGAGTGAGACTCTGTCTCAAAAATAAATAAATAAAAAGGCCTTTCTCCTTATTTTAAAAGATTGCCATACAAATTAAATTTTACTATACATCAATAGTTATAGGGCTTATATTATTTTTAAGTAACTACAGCTTATGTAAGTCAAATGCCCCTTGGGTAATTCTTTGAAGATGAGGTTGCCCACTGGAGAATTTCTACAGGTTCTGTGGATTTATGAAACCTTTCCAGCAGCCTGGCAGTGTGATCTCAAGCTATTCTTATCTGTGATGGCCTGAAATGTTCTCGTTCTCTTCTCTTTAGTTGCTTTATGATATCATTCTTTATCATTCAAGTTCAGGGATTTAACAAGTATTTACCTAAATGTCTTCCTCTTGAATGTTAAACCTTGAAGAAACCCTCTGTGCCTTCTCCACTTTTAGGCTGAATTCTTATATTGGATCTTCTCCCACTAGAGAAATGACAAGTTATTTTCTTTTTCCCCCCATTATATTTTGGGTTTTGTAATTGTCTCTGTAGGATCAAGTTTTTTTCATCTTACATTGCAACTATAAGCACTGGGTAGAGGCTGCCCATAATGCTAGGTTAAGAAATTTCTGGTCTTATCTTGGTTCAAAAGAAACAATTGCAGGGACAGATTAATGATGACTGTCTTGGGAGTGCTGGGTAGGTGGGGAGGAGCCACTTATCTGCTAGCCTTGTAGTTTTACATCGTTGTCTACAAACTTTCATATTTTATAATCTGCTGGCATTGAACTTAGACTGAATAGCCTAGGCCTCTCGGTCTGTTTTCTAGGTCAATAATTTTTTTTGTACTGTTGTCCATTGTTCTTGTTTTTTAAAAATTGGTGTGATGTAAGAAAAATACATTTGGTCTCCCTGCCCACCCCTACCCCTTAACACCGAGCTTCTCCAACCATTGTAAGGATGATAGGAACAATTTTTATTATAATATTTGGTCTTTATTTTCAGTTCCTCAAAGAGCTCTAGAGTGATAAAGGTGATAAAAGAGCATTTTTGTTATTCTTAAGAAGCCGGTTTCACTGCCTGCACCTGTTTATGTTAATGAGGCAACTTTGGGAAGGCCCCTAAGGATGGGGGAGCTGGTTGCTAGGGGAACCAACCGATTGATTAAAGGGTAGGAACTTTCAGCCTCTGCTCCCCCACCTGTAGGTAGGAAAGAGAGGCTGGAGGTTTCGTGCCAATGGCCAACGATTTAATCAATAACGTTTACCTAAAGATGCCTCCTTTAAAAGCTCTGGGCGGTGCTTGTGGCTCAGTGAGTAGGGCTCTGGCCCCATATACCAAGGGTGGCGGGTTCAAACCCGGCCCTGGCCAAACTGTAACAAAAAAAATAGCCAGGCATTGGGGCGGGCACCTGTAGTCCCAGCTACTCGAGAGGCTGAGGCAAGAGAATGGCCTAAGCCCAGGAGCTAGAGGTTGCTGTGAGCTGTGATGCCACAACACTCTACCAAGGGCAATAAAGTGAGACTCTGTCTCTAAACAAACAAACAAAAAAATCTCTGACCATGGGGCTTCTGAGAGCTTCCTGGTTGATGCACACATTGAGGCTGGAGGCTGCACACTTGGACAGAGTGGAGAAGCTCTGTGCCTCCCCCCTTAGCTCCTGCCCTTTCATCTCTTCCATTTTGGCTTTTTCTTAGTTTTATCTTTTGCAATACACTGGTAAACAGAAGTACCTTCCTGAATTCCGTGTGCCATTCTGGCAAATGATTGAATCTAAGGCGTCAAGGAAATCAGAAGTATAGGAGGCTTAAACTTGGGGTCACCATCTGAAGTGAGGACAGCCTTGTGACACTGAGCCCTTAACCCTAATGTAAGGTGACCAGATTTTAACATTGGTAAAGCGGGACACCATTGACAGGTGGAGGGGGTGGGGTTCTTAATTAAAAATTTGTTCTATATGGAGCAACAAAACTTTTCATAGAATGCAAAAATAATATTGTAATATTTTTTAAAATTTCAACATAAGTACAATTTACAAATATAATACATTAAAAAATTATGTATAGTATTATTTTATTCTTTGGCATATTTCTCATTTGAGTGAATTTTTTTTAGTAGATTGCTGTCGTTGTTTAAAAGGTCATGAAATTTTTCATAAGAATTTGCTAAATCATATTTCACACATAAAATGGCTTTCAAAGACTCAACACTG